TGAGAAACCATGGCTCCAATTGGGATAAAGTTAAGGGACCATTTCTCCAGTTGGATTAAAGTTGAGGGACTAATAGTAATGAATTTTTAGTTGAGGGACCATAGCTGCACGTTTTGATGAGTTGATGGACCAATGGTAATGAATTTTTAGTTGAAGGAACATTACTCCAATTAAGTTAAAGTTAAGGAACAATTGCTACAATTTACTCCGAATTAAAATATGAGGCTTTTCTGTGGCACCGACACACTCACATGGTCCTGCAAGGCTGCAGTTGTACTTGTGTCTTTTCTGTGGACACGCATGTGGACATGTGGATCTGGATCCCCTCCGGACCTTAAAAAATTAAGCCTGCTGAGTAGGCGATCGTGGCCCTTGAAATTTGATCCAACGGCTACAAACAGGGGGGCCGCTCTAAAAGTTATAATAATCGTAGCCATTGGATCAAATTTTAAGGGCCACGATCGCCTACTTAGCAGGCTCAGTTTTTAAAGGTCAGGAGGGGATCCAAATCCTAGACATGTCATTGGTTTTAGTTTAGTTTTAAGTTTCGTTGTAGTGCCTTTAGCGGATTAGGTTAGTTTTAAGTTTCACTTATGAAATTTATGTGGTCTTGTTGTCAATGGCTTTATGTTAGGGTACCGGTGTTCGGACTGTCACATCTGTCGTCTTTGTGACAGTTCGACCCGAAACTCCTATTTATGATGGTTTATTGTGGTAGTCGTATAGGGGTTTAATATTATTTGTATCTTGTGCAAACTATCTCCAAATTAAGAAATTTGTCACTGGAGAAATTGTACTCATCTGACACCTCTTGTATTTGGTTGTTCTAATTAATGAAACACTTTATCGCTTTTGTCAAAAAAAAAAAAAAAAAAAAAAAAGTCTTATCCCATTAAGTGGGGTTGGCTATATGAATCCTAGAACATTATTGCACTCGGTTTTGTGTCAAGTCTTCTGTTAGATCCAAGTACTCATAGTCTTTCCTTAGTCACTAAAGTGCTTTTTCACCACTCATTTGACATCTTCTTTGTTTTCAAAATCCTATTGAAAACTTTTGTGAGCCATGCTATACCCATCTCTCCCAAGACTTTCCACACCTTGAGTATATCATCTGGGCCCACTACTTTTCTATGCTTCATCTTCTTCAAAGCTACAACCACTTCTTCCTTTCTTATTCTGTGGTAGAAGGAGTAATTTCTCCACTCTTCTGAGTTACTCAACTCCCCCAACAAAGTACTCTTTCATGTCCTTAATTGAAAAGATTATGAAAATAATCTCTCCACTTGTCTTTAACCACGTTCTCTGTAGCTAGGACATTTTCATTCTCATCCTTGATGCACCTTCCTTGGTTCAAGTCACTTGTATTCTTTTCCCTTGTTCTAGCTAGTTTATAGATATCCAACTCTCCTTCTTTGGTATCTAATCGCTTATACATATCGTCAAAAGCTGCTAGCTTCACTTCTCTCACGGCTTTCTTTGCATCCTTCTTTGTTATTTTATAGCTTTCACATTTTCATCGATTCTATCCTTGTATAAGGTTTTACAACATTCCTTCTTAGCCTTAACCTTTGCATGTACATCCTCCTTCCACCACCAAGATTCCTTTTGATGTGGAGCAAAGCCCTTGGACTCTCCTAGTACCCTTTTTGCAACTTTTCAGATACAGATAGCCATGGAATCCCACATTTGGCTAGCATTCCTCTCTGTATCCCAAGTACATTGGGTGAAAATTGACTTGTTTTTCTCCCTTTAGATTCCACCATTCATTCCTTAGACACTTCAAGATCTTGTTCTTTCTTCTATCTCTTTCAATCTCCACTTCATTTTTGTTTCAAGAAGGGATATAATAAGAGCCACCCTAAAGATAATAAGTGGTTACTTTTCCAATTTCATCTAGGCTCTTCATCAAGTTTGTGGAGAATCACTACCAACGCTGAAGATTACTCATCACTTGACACTTTTCATGATCCCCACGTGTTCAAAGTCAAGCCTCGACTCTCCGATTGTGATTTAAGTAAAAAAAAAGTGTTTGTCACCATTGCATTAAATCAAACACATCCAGACAAGAGATCGAGTAGGAGAGTATTCTTGTAAAAGAATATACCACATACATTGTAACTAAGAAACTACATTTGATAAAAGGCGATAATCTATTAATCCTCTATAATATCCGGAGGATCTTGAATCTACAAGGTAGCATTATCTAGAAAAAATCACAACTAGCTGATCTATGTGTCACAATATTGACTTCTCGACAAACATAAGTAAACCTAGCTAGCCCTTGAGAATTGGTTTAACAGCACACAAGTATCATCAATTAAACTTCTCAAAGCTGAAGTGTGGTCGTTCCCACTTTTAAGGGCCTTGACCAATGAAATGGAGATACACTCAAATCCTCAACAATTAATACATGTTTGTTCCTTTTCTTTTCCTTTTTAGCGGGCCAAAAATTTTGGTCGATATCATAAGACGAGCCGAAAAGCAGAATAGTAATTGGTCTTTTTCTTAGAGGAGAGGAACCTAAACCATCAAAATAGGTTTCTCATTTCACTTCTGTTACCAAAAATATCATTGCAACTAATCTTTCTTCAACTTTGATCATGCAATGATTGCTTGTTATGTCATCACCGAAGAGGGTTCATGGTTTCTCGGTTTTTAGTTTTATTTTCAGAATGGTTAGTTTCCTAAAGAAATCTCAGAAAATTTAATGATTTTTTTTGTACGATTTAGGCTTGGTTTGGTATTGCTGTGCTTTGAAAAAAAGCTGTTGTGATAATAAGTGGCTGTGCTGTGAGAATAAGCGGCTGTGAAATAAAGCCAGTAAAGTGTTTGGTAAACTTTTTTGTAAAAGTGCTTTTGGAAAAAAAAAAGCAGTATCATAGTGTTTGGTAAACTTTTTTGTAAAACAGCTGTGACTGTGTGAAATGACCAAAAAGGGTATATTACTAGATGTGCTATTAATTTAATTTTCTTAACAAATAAAAGTGAATTACTAAATATATTTTATTTTTAGAAGAAAAATATTTATATACTATAAAATGTGCTATTAATTTCATATACTATAAAATGTTTTCATGCTTTACTGACTATCTTTCAGGATAATTTTCATTTAATGAACCAGCAACCAGCAAAGAATGCATGATTTATGCACAAAAGAGATGCAAACAAAAGGGAGATGCAACGATTTATATGATATTATCAACTCCGTCAAGAACAAAGCACAAAACAAGGAACATTTCAGCAAAAGAGGGCTTGTATGCAAATGATTAAACATCTTTCTCTAAAATCTCTATTCCCTTTTTCTTTGGATCCCCTTTTTTCCAACCAGTTCTTATTAGCAAAAGTCTACTTGTTTTCTCTCATCATGAATCTCCCAAGTTTGCACAATTCTGTTTTCCTTTTAATCTTTTAAATTTCTACAAATTCAAAACTATTGGATCCTCAAATTCTCAATCATTCAATGTAATTATGTAACACTTCCACATTAGAGAGCAAAATAACGAAGGGATAAATATTCTCCTCTCATAAGAGCTGCAAGGTGCACAGTTTTGTTTCCAGGAGCCGAGCATGCATCAAGAACCTTCAAAGGAAATCATATTTAATTGGCGCAAACTGTTGTATAATCTTAAAACCAAAACTCAATACAACCGACGCAAAACATTAACCCAAAACTCAATACAACCGATGCAAAACATTAACCCAACTTAAGTTCATAATAATTAGCGATGTACAAACTTTACCGACCTCCCATCCTGGTTTCGGAGCAAGGGCTGCAGCCACCATAGAGCTTGCCTTTCCTTGCATAAAAATACTTCCATCCTTTATTAGAGGATGATCGTGAAGATCACTACCCGGTGGAAGAACCAACAAGTGAGGAACCAGGTCATCCTTTTGAACCTGAAATTGCTTCTTTAATTCAAGTAAGGCAGTGTCAACATCCATTTTCAGAGTATTTACTCGAACATGACGAGGTATTGAGATATCGGGAATTTCATAAAGAGCTATCAAGTCTTCAACTTTCTGATCCAAACACAATCCAAGAGTCAACAGATCCAAACTTTAAACAAAATTGAAACCCTAACAACATCAACTCTGCGAAAATTTACAGAGCAAAGCGAAAACAAAGCATTCGTGTCATTGAATTACCGATTAAGCTCCGAATCCGAACCCGATCCGAACCAGGACTCAGAACTCAAGCTCCGCCACCAGATCGGTGGAGGTACAGCTTGCCAAACACATGAAGAGCCATGACGAAGCCTATGAAGCAGAGGCTCATGACGAGGACAACAGTCGGGGTGATCTTCAAGCCAGGAGTGTCGTCCGTGTAGAACCTCAGCATGTTGTTTCCGGCACCTGATCCGCCTCCTCCTCCGTCGATGCTTCCGGAACCGGTGGAGCCTCCGACACGACGGCGACGCATTCCAGCCGTCGCGGCGGCCGAGCCCCGCGGAGCCATGACGCCGGGGCGCGCAGTCGCAGAGGACGACGACGACGCTTGGGTTATTCATATTTCAGTACACTGTTCACCCGTGTGTGGGTGAAAATAAGCTGCTTTTGGAAGCTGCAAATTGCAGCTTCTTGTCATCTGATGGTTTTGGGCTTTTTTTCACCCTCAACTTTGAAACAAAGCTGTTTTTCAAAGTTTACCAAACACCAAAAATTTTCATAGCTTTTTTTCATAGTAGCTTTTTTTTTAATCACCTCAATCCCAAACAGGCCCTTAGAGTAGACCTAAAAGTGATTGGAACTACGTTTAGTGGATTACTATTGTACGGTTTTTCTTCTATATATGTAAGGGTTGGTACACAGTTCTGAAGGAAAAAAATATGGATGCTAAGTCATTCATGAAAAGAATAAATAATTAGAAATCAAAACCTAAATTTTATTAGAAATTAAAACCCTACATAAACACAAGCATAGTCTAGTCCAGCTAAATCATAAGCATGACTAATATTAGCAGCCGTAGGATGATAAAAACAAACAATGAAACTACTGCCTAGTTAAAATGAAATACAGTAGAATGATGCAGAAAGCATGCTAAGTATGAGCACTAGAGAGGCAGATAATGAGTATGTTCCGGCATGTGGAGCAGTGACGGGTGCTGGAACTACGTTGATGGAACTTGTTGGTGACTGGCTCGGTTCTGGAGATTGACTCTTTGGTGATGATTTTGGAGTTGGATGAACTGCAACGAAAATTTGTTACTGAGGTATGAGATTTATCCTTTGGAGCAATGATCAAGTCTTATAACTTTGATACATATGCAATAATAAAATAAAGAGGAAGAAATAACGAGAATACATAAATCTAAAATCAATTCAGTTCGCACAGTTCTATTCTCTTGTTCACATCTATCATTCATCTCTCATCATTTTTGTTTTCAATATTAAAAACAAAACAGAAACTTCACTGTACTACATAATAATACAAATGTAACGATATTAGGATACAAATTTTTTTTCTAAACGTTAATCACCATTTTGTTAGTCGATATTTACCCGTTGAATGGTCATTTAAGGGTTCATTTCATCAAGTAAAGGATTATCTTTTTTTTTTTTAAATGGAAAAAAGCGAAACTAAAACATGCAGTAAACAATTAGAACACACCATGAGGACTTGCACCAGGAGGCAATGGGACTGCAAAACAAAAGAGGAAATCATTTTTTATGAGCATTATACATCAACATATTCTTATTTCGTCGAAAAGAAATTAATCAGAGTGTGCAATACTGGTGAGAGATGAGATTACTCACGGTTACATTCACTAAGAAAAGAAGGTGCAGAGATTTCACAAGCAGAAGGCAATGTCATAGCCTTTGTCATATTTATAGGAATACCCATATCAGTGCTACTTTCTATGGCTTCACATATGCAGTCATCACTGGCTTTTAGGACCATTTCCAACCCAGAACAACACGAACCTTCCGGCTTTGTGTTTGTGTCCCCATCGCTTAAAAAGGGAATGCAATCGGCCATTCCGTATAGCACATCGTTACAATCATCTGAGCTTGGTGAGCCTACTGTTGTTGGTACGTCCAGCGAGCTTGGTTCCGGTGATGGTGCATACGACAGTGGATCAACAACATGGATTCGTGCACAATTTGCCAACATAACACAAGTGGTCAAAATGCATGAAACATAGATCAATCTCTCCATTCTTTTCTCCGGAAGAATTGAGAGCCTAGCTTCAACAATTGCACAAGTTTACCATTGGTTGTTGTGTTTTTTTAGTTCTATATAAACTTATAGCGGTAAGAGTTGGTTCGAATTGAAATTCCTAAAATCTCTCTATCCAGTTTGAACAAAGTTCGAATTTCACTAGAATTGGAAGATTAGTTATAACTTACAATAATCTTATTGTTACGTGTATCTTCTATATGTCTCCAATTTTTAAAAGGGGCAGTTTGATCAGGTCCAAAGAATTCACCAGTTTTTAGATTGGGTCCAATTTTATTTGATTTTTTATTACATCTATTTTGCCCCTTGAAAATAAAAAATATTTAAATTCTTTATTTTTGAATTTAAAATTTTAAAAATTTGAAACTTCAAATACCTTTATCTACCCGTTTTCTAATTAAAAACATTTTAATAACACATTACAACCAATCTTATAAGTTTATGAAAAATTAAAAGAAACGTTGTCGAGGTACATAAAAAATTTGTGATGTAGGTAGATAATATTAATTAATCTATGATATAGGTAGACTATGAATAAAAACCTATCGTATAGATAGATAACAGAAAATAATATGTGATATATAGATAGACTAATGAGTAAAAACATATCGTATAGGTAGATAACGCAATTAATTTGAGACAGAAAAATTTGTGATATATAGGTAGATAAAATAAAATTAATCTATAAAACGGGTAGAATAAACAAAATATACAAATAGATTCATTACAAAAATATATAATACAGGTAGGTAAACAAAGCAACGCATTTCCTATAAAGGTTGAAAACAAAAATATGTATAATCCAGGTTCAAACTAAAAATTAGGAAGAAATTAATAGTGCATGCATGAAACTCATATTTTCATGGCAATGTTCCCAATCAAAACGACCCAACTAGTGCTATTGTGGGAGGACCTGGTGGGGATGACAAGTAGGAAGATGCAAGATTTGATGCTACAAAACCAAAACCAACCACTTACATCAACCCACCTTTTGTTGGTGTATTGGCATACTTCAAAGCTCTATACCACAGAAAAAAATTAGAAATTGTGACCTTGTATTTTAAAAAAGAGGAAGAAATCATAAGAGCTTAAAAGAAGAAGAATGAACAAGAAGGAAGGGGATCGGAGAACACAACACAAATTGTATACGGGAGTTATGGAAGAAGAGATATAATTTAAAACTAATTCTACAAGTAGGGGATTATTTAAAGATAAATAATTAATTATACTACTTTATACCTATAAAGCAGATATATTCTACTTACTCTATAGAAAGACAAAATTATTTTCTACATCTACCTATGTATTAGGTATATAAACAAAATAAATAAAGTGCATTTGCTATAACGTTTTTACTTATAAAAAGAAAAGTTCATATAAACAAACAAAAAACTAAGAAAGAAATTAATAGTGAGAGCCTACAATTATATATACACATCAACACCCACGGTTATGGTTTAGAAGGCTTTCTTCCTAGCCCTGTGGTTAAATGTTCCAGCATGAACACACACGGTTATTGTGACATCCCACATCGCCCAGGGGAGTGATCCTTATATGTATATTCTCATCTCTACCTAGCGCGAGGCCTTTTGGGAGCTCACTGGCTTCAGGTTCCATGGGAACTCCGAAGTTAAGCGAGTAGCGCGCGAGAGCACTCCCATTATGGATGACCCATCGGGAAGTTCTCGTGCGAGTTCCCAGAAACAAAACCGTGAGGGTGTGCTGGGGGCCCAAAGTGAACAATATCGTGCTACGGTGGAGTCTGGCCCAGGAAGCGGTCCTACCTGGGTCGGGATGTGACAGGTATGGGTTCCAAGGAGGAAGAAGATCACCACGCATAAAAAATAATAGTGTTTGTAGGGGAGTTATGAGGAAGAAGAGATAATATTATTTCAAACTAATCCTACAATTATGGGATTACTTTAATGATAAATAATCAATTATAATTAATTTTATAATACAAGTAAATCTAGAATTAAAAGATAATGTTAATAGAGGGGTAATTTTGACAAAAAATGATAATAAAATGACGTGGACAATGAGTCACTAGACTTAAACCAATAATTAAATAAAATTGGACTATATCTAGTAATTGCTTACAAATTTAGACTTATTTCAACTTTCTCCTTTTTAAAATACAATTATTTTCTAGTTGATGAATATATTTTGAAATTTCCGAAACTCCCTTACATGCACACCGGGCTCCGTTGTGATAATGCTTATCTCAATTGTAAAATCCTAACCCAACCCAACTATACAGAATGAAAAAATAAAAAAAATATAAAAAAGAACCCCACCCAATATACAGAAAAAGAGAAGAATAAAATAAAAACATACAGCAGTCTAGCTACCTAACACGCATGTCGCTCTGTTTTGTTTGGGCCTTTAGCATTAAGCTCACCCCTTTGAATGGCATGGACTCGGGAGAGCTGGACTTTGTAATCCATGGAAAATACGAGGACAAGTTAAGGGTTTTGGTTTGTAATGTCCATGTGCTCTTCAAAAATTGAATGTCCTAGACTTGAGTTAGTTTCTTATAAAGTTTTAATCCCGCTATAATACCATATGTTAGTAAAATCTGCCATTTAATACTACGATCTAGTAATATTCCTCTTCACTTGTAAGTGAGAAGTCTTAAGTTCGATTCTCGCCAAGGGCAAATTGGAACCACATTTATTGCTAACCCATCGTGAGGCCAAACCCACCATCTTAATGTAGATAATATCATTTGTTCAAATAAAAAAAAAAGTAAAATAAAACCCACGGTAGTTCTATATTTATTTATTTAATTAATTAATTCTAAAAGGATATGAATAGTTGTATTTCAACATGAAAGGTTATAACTTCCCGTGAAGAATACAACTTCTCCAGAAAGGTTATTTCCATCTCTATATATTTGTCAAATCTCTTTCTATTAGATTCATTCAATTCCATTCTCATTCTTTGTTCATATCCTTCACACCATATTGTGATCAATAGTCTAAACAACATCCGTTTCTGATCTTGTGAACTACCCAATTTCTATCATTGGCCTTAAAGCCAGGTTTTCATGAATCAAAACAATTTGCCCAGTTTTCATTAGAGGACATCTTGAACTACATTTGAGGCTTCCTCTTCGTCAAGTAACGAATCCAACAACGTTCTTACTAAGTTTCAACTTGAGAAGAAATTAGGGAAGAGGACGTTGGTGGATAAGGAAAATATTCAACTGATTTTTATGGAAAGTTCAAAATCGACATCTGAGAATTTCCTTGCAGAACGCAAAACCCACAAAGATACCCAAATGTTCAAACATTATAGCCTGTCTAAAATCCCATCCTACAATCTATTTGAACCCAGGCCTAGATTAACCCAACAATTAGAACTATATTCATTCACACCATTTCATTCGGTAAAGAACAAAACTCCATCTGCCATTGAACCATTTCAGCATTCAAATTCACTAAGTTCACTCCCCGACTATAATTACCATTATCAGAATTTGAACGAATCACATCCAGAAGATTTATTCAGTCATATTAGAACCTCAGAAAACCCATTGCAGTGGGCATCGTTGGCTGCAAAAACCAAACTTGCACAGAAACCCAAAGACCTGCAACGTCCCATTGAACCTATATTTTCTGAAATTTGGTCACAAAACCCAATAGTCTTACCTGCACTATCGTGATTGATTCGTAGTCATTTGCTGATTGCTGCAAATCCAAGATTGAACTCGCGATTTTCGTGCCTTACTCCGCCGTGGTCTTGCATTTCGCCGTGGACTCACTATAGCACCTTATTGACCTAGAGTAGGCAATAGCGTGTTCGTGTTCATCTAATTGTGGTCTCGTCTTCTCACGGTAATACACAACATCAATCGCATCGATTTCCTCCAAGACGAATTGTTTCCGCCGTTCGTAATTACCCACTGGGCTGCGGGATGAATTTTCTTCAAAATGGGGAATGATCGCATCTTTTTCAGAAGGAGATAAGTGATTCACAAAGTCGAAATCAAGGAAGGAACTCCTCCATTTTTCAAGATTCCTTGGTCCAAAGAAATAGGGGATTTTCTTTTAGTATTAAGCACTATGATAATGCACGTGAAGGACTAGGAGACAATAATAAATTATTGTCCATCAGAAAGTCAAATTCATAGGTCCTTTGAGGTGGGCTCATCTTCAAGTAGGCCCAAATCGAGAAGCCACCTACAACCTTGGTAGCTCCCTTCAATTCAAACTCAGTCACAAAGATCAAAAGTGGAAGCAAGGGTTTACTTTTCATAATTTTAGAGTCAAAGTGCTTAATTATTTGGACCAATATAATAACACCCGTTACAGTTTTATATATCCTGATTTGGCACAAAGAGAAATTTCAACAGCAAGAAATTTAAAGGGACCAAGACCACTGAGAAATGAAAGAGAATCTAGTAGACGAGAAGAGACTGCTTTTGTGCACGAAAATAGAGGAAAAATTGATCATGCCTGGCCAAGTAGACAAGTAAGAAATCCATGAGCCTTCTATCGATGTGATCGGCTGAACAAGTACTCGTCTTTCACTGATTAGACAAAGCCTTTGTGAGTGTGTGAAGTATCTGCTACTAAAAATAAATAAGTTTCTATCTTTTGTTTTTATTTTTTTTTAGTCTTTAATTTATTAAGAACATTTAGTATTTGTGGCTTGTAATAATTAAAAGTACACTAATAGTATTTGTACTTGTATTTAAGTTGTATTAAGTATTGTGTTTGTTTTGTAATTTTCTGAGATATGGCAACTAAATCTTCCAAATCCAAAGTTTTTTAAAAAGAGGTTGAACAATGTTAATTATTGAATATGGAAGAGAAGGACCACTTATCTTTTAACCCATGACAAGACTTTAAAAACTATCAAAGATGAGAGGCTCTTTGGGCCCTCTCGAGTTTATAATAAATGGGTGGAAGATAATGAGTTGGCTAAGGCCACAATTCTAAATTACATGGAAAATAAATTAATACCTCTATGAA